GCCAACAAGATGCGTCCAGTTTCGACGATTGTCCTGATTTGTCGCTCAGCTCGGCCATTTTGTTGCGGTGCACGGGGAGTTGAAAATTCATGAACTATCTTATATTTGTTCATAATACGTTTCATATCCTTGCTAATAAACTCACGTGCATTATCGGATCGAAAACGTTTTATCTTGTGTCCGTACGAATTTGCAATTGCAATGACACTTTCAACTGCGTCAATTATTTCAGTACGATTTTTCATGGGACGTACAATTAAAAATCCTGAAAAATCGTCCACAAAGACAGCTAGCACCGTATTGCCACCAAGCGATGGAGTCGACATCGGCCCACAGATATCGAAATGTATCAATTCTGCTGGTTTATTGGCCCGAGTGTCAGATTCGACAAATTCTTTACGTGTCTGCTTTTCAAAGATGCAGGCCTCACAAAAACGATTGTCGGTTCTCCCACTGAATTTTGAAACGTTCATGCCTGTGATTGCTTTGCTGTTAGCCATTTGATCCAGTTTCTTATAGTTTACGTGAGCGAGTCGTTCATGCCATACAGATAATGGCTGCGTATCCTTACAGGCAATTTGAGCTTCGTGCTCTGGCAATACAACTCGTGTGTCCATCATGTATAAGTTTCGTTCATAGCTATAGCCAATCATTAGCACTTTATTTCCATTCATTATTCTTATTTGATTTTCGTCAATGATTGTCTTGTTACTCTGTCTGGCGCTGGCACCAATGCTCAGTAAATTTCGACCTAAATCCGGAATCCAGAATACATTATGTAGAGTACCTTCACGTTCCTTAACCATTGAAAGGATTCTGATGTTGCCTCTACCACGTGCATAAACAATATCGTTGTTTCCTACAGTAATCGGTACCGATTTATCATTTATTGCTTCAAATGTATCGAACCAGCCTCGTTGAAACGTCATATGATTACTGACTCCTGAATCTGCTAACCAATGATCTTCCTTCGGTCGTTTATTTAGATCTGAAAAGAATGAAGCTGTGAATGCGTCGCCATACGACATTCTCTTACCTTGAGATGCGCTATTGGCTTGTTTCGATTCTCGTTTGGGCTTCTTGCATTGTCGAGTCGTATGCCCTTCTTCGTCACAATTGAAGCATTTTCCTTTAAATGTATTCTTGTGTTGCTTAGGCTTTTTGTCATGCTTCGTCTTCTTCGCATGCAATGCGACAGATTCCTCTTCGCTATTAATCTTAACCTCACCAAAACTTTTAGAGAGTTGCTCTTCTTTCATGAGACGAGGCAATAGATTAACTAATTTCTGTTCGTGTCTCGATACTGAATCCCAAGCTGATATTACCGAACGATAGCTTACCGGTAATGAATGCAGAATCTTTGTAATTATCGTCGTTTCATCCTGCTTATGACCAAGGTCCTCGAGTTGTCGAGCCATCTGTTCGACGTTACTGACATGTTCTGACACTGTCATCTTGCTTGGATCCATCTTATACTCGAAGAATCTTGCTAGTAATAAATGTACGCTTGTTTCATTTTTCTGTTCGTACAAAGCTTCAAGCCTTAACCAGATTTCGTTTGAAGTCTTACAATTCACAATATGACGTATCTGTGAAAGCTCCATTGATTGAGTTAACGCAAAACGTGCCTTCTTGTCGGTAGTATCCCAGTCTCGGCATTTTGTTCCGACTTAACCGTTTTGCCACTCGCTACCTCGAATAATCCGTGATAGTCAAGATAGACTGACATCTGATACTTCCAGAGTCCAAAATCAGTTCCGTTAAATTTTGTGACTGTAATCTTGTCCATGATTCTCGTGATATATCTCTTTTGCAAGACAGATAACCTTACTCGAATGAATCTCACAGTTACTTTACCGCCTATCTAGGCCCATAACATGTCGCGGGGTGCGCGGAATCAGGTTAATAACTGTGATGTGTATTCTGAGTTAAATTCCTGCAGATTTAATATAATCGAATCACTGGTACAAAATAACGTAAAAATGTAGTCTATTACACAGATTAATATAAATGAGATAATAATGTCTTGTACAACTACGATACACGAGTCTTGGTTTCCCACGTAGTAGTTGCCCGTATCTAACAAAAAACAAGAGGTCTAGTAGGTAGATGGCGTAGAGAGGAAACTCTAGAAACTAAAAAATAACAGACTCGAATGCAAGCGCCATCCAACAGTGACCGAGGCGCACTATCTCCAACAACAACCATATTGGTAAATTTCGTTCCATGGTTTTAAGATTCAACATGTGATTTGTGAGAATACATCATAACATCCAATCAGTCAATTTGATGTTGACATGTCTCACAAATAGATTATTATTATAATTAGTTTAAAATTATACTGAAGATGACTCAATATAAGAGTCGAAACGTATATATTATATATTGATCATTATTGAATAAAGGATACTTGTGTGAATTCAGATTATTCAATAGACAAAAAGTTCATTAAATTTGCATACCAATAACAACGCTGCACTCTCATTCGCCCTAAAGGACCGTACTATGTAGACTATAGTATGTATTCAATAATCTGGAGAGTTAATAAGAAAACTAGTATTGTACATCAACATATTTTATGTATAATGACGTAATCATCATATTATTCTTACTGAAAATGATTATATTAAAGATCAAAGGTAAATATTTCGAATTACACAGTCAGCCTCAAATGACTTCCGAGTGACCTTGACCTTGACCTTGACCCTCAAGATGGTCAAGGTCATTGACCATTCCCGTCGCTCGTCCTTTGTTAAAAAGTTATTAACCAAAAAAGATTTAAAAATAACGTACTATTTCTGCGTATATTCTGCGTACTATTCACGTGGATAATGGTATTAAAATGGTTATAAAAGTTTCAGTTGCTGCTAATATTTATTCATTTTATTCAATGTACATTTTTACTCATTTTATTCATTACTTGACGATACATTATTTAATGAATATAGAGAAGTCATTAATCGAAAAAATTGCGGTATTCTCTCATTAAAATCGCATCGTTCTTTAAATATGAATTCTGCTAAATAATGTTTGTAGTGTTCTTCTCGTACACCAAATCGCGATAAAGCAGAACGCATATCGCGTCATAACCGCTCAATATTTTGCGTATGTACATCGGATTCAGGATCAACAAAATGAACTGAATGATTAACGGTCTGATGTACGTAATCAAGTTCCTTTAAAGGTAAAGCAACTCTCATCCCCCTCCCCCCTGTGCACCTACTTTATTTGTAAAGTAATTTTCACCTCCCCCTGCACAGGGGCACACGACTTCTACGATTGTACTGTTGCTATGATAGTACTGTTGGGGCAGACCTCTGAGACGGTGCGGGGGAGGTGGTCGAAGGCCGCCCCCTTGCACCCGCCCGTGTGTGTATGTGAGTGTGTGTGTGTGTGTGTGTGTGTGTGTTCCATTCGTTATATTACGATTATAAGTCTATCAAGTAATAACTTGATATTTTACACACGTACGCAGAATATACGCAGAAATAGTACGTTATTTTTAAATCTTTTTTGGTTAATAACTTTTTAACGAAGGACAAGCGACGGGAATGGTCAATGACCTTGACCGTCTTTGAGGGTCAAGGTCAAGGTCAAGGTCACTCGGAAGTCATTTGAGGCTGACTGTGTAATTCGAAATATTTACCCTGACTCGTATCACGATTTCCTTTTTTACTAAAAGCATCTGTTTTAAATAATTTAATTTCTCAAAAATGGAAGTCCTAAAGAACATTTAATTCTTTAAAGAATAAGATTGTACGGAATAATTTTTTCGACACTTGAAGTACGAATAAATAATAAATGATAAGATTAGATTAGAATAAAATAAGGATCCACCGCATTTTCAAAAGCTACATATATTAATAATCGAAACTACAAATTAATAATTGTAATATTTTTTTATTATAATGTTTCTCCCATTGCCTCTTCCACTTTGTCCCCTAAATAAAAATTTAAAATAATCATTAATCTTATTTAAAATACATAATTTAGTTAAAAATAATTAACTTACGCGTTTCTGAAGTGCCGCATATACCATGCGGCACGACTTCGCCCGCGTCCTTGTCCTCGTCGATGGTCTGCAAGAACAAAAATAGTATAAAAACATCGCCAATGTTAGAAAAAGGGGAAAGACTTAATAATGTATAAATAATTTACTATATTGTTCCTGCAGCTGTTGCTGCTGCTGCTCCTGCGGCTGCTGTTACTGCAGCTGTTGCGGCTGTCGCTGCTGTTGTTGCGGTTGTCGCTGCTGCTGCTGCGGCTGTCGGTGCTCCTGCTGCGGCTGTCGGTGCTGCTGCTGCGGCTGTCGGTGCTGCTGCTGCGGCTGCCGCTGCTGCTGCGGCTGTTGCAGCACTTGCAGCTGCTGAAGCTGCTGCTGGTGCTATTGTTGTTACAGCAGCTGTTGTCTTCTTTACTGCAGCAGTTTCTCAATATTTGATGGCTTCCCATCCTCGAGTAACATTTTTTCTACTTCTTCAATTTCTTCTAATATAATATTTATTATTCTCGATTTTATTTTTGATTGTTCTCAGTTTACCGTGTAATGCCTATCAACGAATCGTCGAATGCTTACAAATGACTGGCGTGCTGCTTCATGTCAGGAGCATTCTTACTAATAAGGTCAAGGTCACTCGGAAGTCATTTGAGGCTGACTGTGTAATTCGAAATATTTACCAGATCAAAATGTTTGAGTAAATAATTATTGTATTTGATTTTTATTTAATGACTACATGTATAGAAATATACCGCATACAATATTTAGCGTTTTAGATCAACATATTATATCTTTTGTTTCATCGGAAATTGAAATAAAACCATACATCACCAAAAAGTTATCTCGCAGTTATTATTATATTTTTAAATATAAAAGCTATAGGTAAATATATGAAGAGTATTGTAAAGCACTTAAAACTTCAGTAATCGTTGCTTTTCTTAATGAATATGAAATTTAATTGTTGTGCCTTTGATTTGTATTCATTAAGTTATAAATAACTTACTCGTGATTCCATGTTCGATCTCCGCGATGAAAAATTATAAGATTCCCTGTTGGTTCCACAGCGACCCCAGAAACTTCACCAAGATTTTCGGGACTTCGCCAGAAATGATTTTCAATGGGATGCAGTGGCGCATTATAGAATTCCAAAAACTGATCCTACGTAATAAAGATAACAAATACATCGTAAACATGATTATTATAGAACAGGATTATTGTTATTATAATATTGTTAAAACATAATTCGTGATTTTTAAAGAAATATTAGAGTTGATGCTTTGTTCGTAATAAACACTTGAATGTTACTCTTTGAAATTAATACGGATGCGCATTAGTAAAAACTTGAGTAAAAAGAGGAATGTACTTATTAATTTATTAAGTTTCTACATGTGTAAATATTATTTTAAATATTACAATGTAAGAATTCATTAAGATATAATATTAAATATAAATTAAATTAAAACAAACTAAAGGACTCTTTTCTTATACAAAATAATAAACATAAAAATGGCATTGTAAGAGTCAGAAAATAAGAAAAATTTTGTAAACGATAAAATTAAACCATGTATTCTAAGTTTTATCAATTATGACAGTACTTAAGGAGTTATCCGGGTCTAGAAGGCAAAAAAAAGGCCTACTTTCGTGAATTTTTTTAAAAGATCCTACGACAATTTTACAATTTTCGTTTATTGGATATTAAAATATAATGTTTCAACTACACTGTGTAAAATTTTGAACGAAAAATATTGAAAAATGAGCTGTTGAGAAATGCTTAATGTTGACCACGCCAAAAAAAGTGTCCTTGCGGTAGTTACATTATCTCCGTCAATTTTCATCTGAAATCAAAAACCCAAAGTTTTTCTGTTAGTGTATGCGTATGGCTTGTCTTTGAACGAAGGATTCTTTTTTTAATTAAAAATTGAATTTTTTGTAGCGTTTTTTATAAAAAGTGTCATTTTTTGCATAAATTTTGGCCATATTTTGGCTTATAAAATGAGTTGTAATTGAAGATAAAAAAAATCCTTCGTTCAACGACAACAAAAACATGTCTAAAAGCAGTGTGCAAAAGCAGAAGTCGATCGGTGCAATAGTTTTTGAGAAAAAGTAACTACCGACTTCAAAAAAGTGGTTTTTTAAGAAAAACGCGTTTCAAAGCGGAATAAAATAGAGAAAACAATTTTTTTTTTACTTACATGGAATCATCGATTCCAGGCCCATAAAGGAAAGGTTCCGCTGCAGCTGCAAGGTCCAATGCATCTTTTTGGTCTTGCTGAAGCTTCATTCTCGCTTCTTCGGCGGCCGAGGTCGAATTGCCGGTTATGACGCATTCGACACACTGCGCTTTAAATTTCTCCCATTCCTACAATTTTGCTCCGATCGACTTGTAATTTTCGGACAACATTCCTGACACTTTGTACTATTATATAAAAAAGTTTGAAAAAAATGAATTTTTTGAAGTGCCAAGACCCGGATAACCCCTTAAAAACTAACTTAAAATATAACATTAAATGACAAATATTCTTACATTACTATACATTACATAACATTACTAGTTTCGACCAACAATTCTGGTCCTCTTCAGATGAAACATTAACGTTGAATTATAAAATTATAGATGGACAACAATACTTATGTAAAATTTTATAAAATATTTATATAGATCCGAAAAAAATATAAATTAAATATAAATTAGTTACATACGTGAGAAAATCGGTAAGAAGCATCAAATTTATTGAAGTTACTTCCATCGAAGTTTCCGTCGTTGATATTGGATGTAACACCTCTAAATACCACTACTGTAAATATCAAGAGAACTCGAAGGAATTGGTTTCTTCTACTCGCCATTATCTCTCTGCTCTTCTATAAATCTCACAGCTGACGAGGTCTAAACCGAGGTGTTGAATCAATAATATGCGCAAGCGCTCGTTGAATTACAATTGTTACAATTCAGAAACATAATACCAGAGAAATTAATGCAACAAGTACATGAGAAGTGATAAAAGGAATTGATCATCTGATATAATACAAACAAAAGGATTCAGGATTCGATGTTCGGAATGTAACAAGTTTGATGACAAATCTGATTATATTAACAAAAAGAGAAAAAAGGTATACACAAAAAATTGTTTATTAGAACTATATTATAATTGGATTTATAAATTGAAATAAAGCATTTCTATAAATTCAGAACAATAATGACTATTGCTAATAAAATAATAACCATAATAAACTAACTACACAAGGAGAACATAAACACACACATATGAGAACATAATATATTATAAGATAAAAAATTATTATGATTAAAACATTTATGATAAACTTAATGTCATTTCTTATCGTTATTTTGTTAATATAACTAACATTTAAATTTCTTCTATAATTTTTAAAAAAATTGTGTTTATTAGAAATTCATTAATTTTTATTTTACTTTAACTTAGATGAAAATGTCTGGAAATAAAGGAAATAGTTGTGTTTTTACTGATACACAGAAAATAACAAATTGAATACGAACGATGAGTTGTTGTATCAGATATTGTTTAAAATCAACTGTATCTGCTTTATGAAGGATTTGTCAGTACAATCAGACAGGTGGGAGTCAATCGATATTCGCGCGCAGGTGTCCTGGTTACTATCCCAGGAAAGTAGGTAGGGACACCGGGTGATCGTATCCTGGAGACCACTGACGTCAGAGTTCTTATATATGCTCGCAGGATAATCAATAACTTTCTGTAATTTATAGCATTTCCATGGTAGAAATACAAGAGTATTCTTTTGCGCATCCCAAAAAAATCCAGCCAATGAAAATTGCAGCTTGACAGCGTCATCACTAAGAGGCAAATTTGAATTGTCTAACGACATTAGCACAATAACATTAATGAATTATGCGCAATTTAATATTAAAATTATGGAAAATCTTTGTAAAGTTGATAGTATTTGAGAATAAAATTATTAAAGATCAATATTCGGCTATCTTTAAAAATTAATATTTCGTTAACCATTGCGAAATGACACAGGACTTTTTGACTCAGTTTAGTCCACTCTATCTACACGAAAGCGATTGGAAGAAACTCTCAGGATACCTTGTATATATATTATATATTTTTTAATATACCTCAATGTATATACATATATATATATACATTGAGAGTATATTAAAAAATATATAATATATATGTACATATATATATATGTATATATATATATACAGATATATATACATATATACAGATATATATATATACAGAGAGAGAGTATTTATATTAAAAAATATTAAAGGAAATTTTTAATACAAAGTGACATTTTAAAGTCAATAAGTATTTTGAAAAGTTTTCATATGTATATCTAAACAATAAAACACTTTTCTTTGTATTGTATTGTATTAATTAATTAAATATGAAAATTGTTAGGGGACATATATTTCATAATAGAGAAAAATAAAAACGTAAAAACGTAAAATCACGTAAATCACTTAAGGCTCAAATGTCCAACGGCAAATGGTCACGCTGACGCTCTTACGTATACGCATGTAGCAGAAGGCAGCCATAGCTTTTATCGAATCGAAGCGCTCCGAAAAGTACCGAGTTAACACGAATGTGACGTCATCAAGCTGATGCGCAGTAGAGTTCTAAATTCGTCCACGGGATGAGAATACCCTTGTATTTCTATCATGAGCATTTCCAATATAACATAAAATAACAATTATACAAACGTCATACATTCCTGCTCAAAAGATTCAGCACACATATTTTTGCTAACAATTCCATTTTCCATATAAAATATGGAATTATGACATGATACACCCTTTTATTTTTGATCACGGAATATTTAATAAAATCATGAATTACGGACAAATAATTATAAACAGAAATTACAAATAAATTAAAAGTAAATAGATAAATATCATGTATAATATTTATATATCAATTAAAAGAGGTATCAAGTTTTAATATTTTTTATATTAGGAAATGTCCATAAACGGAGAATATACTGAAACTTTTGAGCAATAGCTTCTTCTTCTTGGATATCTAATGGCCCTGGTCTTCTTTGATGGGATTTAATTGGCCAGTCGTACTAAGCACAATAAAGCCGGCACCGCTTTCCAAAAATATGCAACCGCGAAAATGGTGTAGTCCGAACGGACAGCGGGCGCCTGCGTTTACGACGTCGTCATGCCGCACTAAGGTGCGTCAGGACGAACGAACGAGTCAAGCCAGATCGCGGATATATATCCAGAAAAAGATATGCGCAGACAAAGTCGGCAACACTTTCAAAAATATACTTGAATGAAAGTACTCGATTCGAAACGCGTCTGTCACGGTCGAGTGGTTCTTCGAAACTCTTAAGCGATATAGCCTATAATAGTTATATAGTTATACATCAGTAGAAATTGCATAGCAGTAATACATTATATTTTTCGATGTGTTTCGTTTGGACGAGGGCTCCTTTTATCTACGGCATCATCTGTTTATTATACATCTCTTTTACCCACAGATTGAGTGTCTATATATATTATTATCTATAATTTGATTATCTACGTGCATTTTTGCCCACAAGTATAAAATTAAGATCAAATTATATAAGAAAGTAATGGTAATTATGTACTTTAGGAGAACCAGGTCCGATGACCTTGACCTTGACATATGTTGTCAAGGTCATGATTCTGAGCAACTGATTCTGAGCCTTAACAACAAGGTGGCGGACTCTTATAATTTTTTAGATATTTAGACTCAATAGTCTGGACTATTGTATACTATCAATAGTTAATACTATGCGTATTCAATAATCCCTGCAGGGAGGCTCCACTACTGTTAAAAATAAACTAACTCAACCCATTTAGTGGTGTGAGGTAGCTAGCTCTCGCTTCATGTAGAAAGTCGAAATCCATGCACAACAGTACAGGCATGTGACTTTCTATGCGAACATACTTCTATGGTTGTACTATTGCGCATTTCGACTTTCTACGCGAAGTAACAGCTACCATACACCACTAAATGTGTTGGGTTAAATTATTTTTAACAGTAGTGGAGCTCTCCCACAGGGAGGGGGGCGAAACCTACTGTATTCACGTGTACACTTTACAACATAAAGCGACATGGAAGTTGCGAGCTCATTCACAGAAGAAGAGGTGGAGTAAGAGTTGCTTCGCATGAATACAGTAGGTTTCACTACTGTTAAAAATAACTTCAACGCTTAATATCTGAAAAACTATAACAGATTGCCACCTAGTTGTTAAGACAGAGTTCCTCAGAATCATGACCTTGACAATATATGTCAAGGTCAAGGTCATCAAAACTAGGTTCCCTGTAAAGTACATAATTATCAAAATAATTTGTATTTTTAAAATAGAGAGCTTATGTAAAGCAGAGGATTTATTTTAAAACAGAGAATTTGTGTCTTTAAAGTAGAGAATTGTTGCTTTGTTGGTTGTAGGTAATCGAGTTGTAGATAATAATACGATAATAATCAACATAAATTAAAAGAGCAAAGTAAGAGTCAGAAGTAAAAATTACATTTAAAATAATATTAAAATGTCAACTTTAATTCTAAATCTAAAACACAATAGAATATACAAAAATTACTGAAAATTAAAAACATGATGCACGTAACAAGTTTCGACTCTTCGATAGAGTCCTCTTCAGACTTCAAAATAGTTTCTTTCGTAGACAAAATTATTATAGATAGTCAAAATATAATATTGTTGTTGAAAAATTTGATAATTCGCAGGTTAACAAAGTTTCTGTAAAAATTAATGCAACGCTATACAAATTGTTATGTGAATGTTAGAGTTTTTAAGAAAACACTTACCAAAACAATAATTAAAAAACAAATATAAATTGTGTCCATTTGTTAGAAAAATATGTGTTCAACAATGTAATATAAAATGCAGTGCAACCTTTCCAGGAGAAACATACGCTGACTTCTTGGAAAATAAGTTGCCGGTCCTTCTCGAAGACGTTCCTCTTCGCGAACGGGAGGAACTCATTTTCCAACATGACCGGGATTCCCGCATTTCTCGCGGCTAGTACGTGATGTATTAGATACGCGTCATCCGGACCAGTGCTGCCGAGCCGGGTTTCCCCTCCAGTACCTTCCACAAACCAGGCAGTGCACAGGAACGTGTTATAAGAGCGCGGATTCCAGTAAACATAAATTTAAATTTTTTAAAATATAGATTAAAGATTAAATTTAAAAATAAGATTGAAAAGAGTAATTTAAATAATTGTTTGAAAAAAAGGAATGGAAAGGGAAAAGGATGAGAATAATTGTAAAAAAAAACACATTGTGGTTCAAATAAAATAATTATTTTTTAAAATAATTATTTGGCAGAAAAAATAAAGCATACAATTTATTGCAAGGGTAAGGAAAATATGTATTTTATAATATATTTGTTGATAAAATAATTATAAAGTTTATTTTGTATTACACAAATAATAAACAAAAAATTTTTAATATATAATATATATATTATTTTAATGAAATATTAATTTTTATTTTATAAATTTATTGTTATATTAGTTTAAATTTATTATTATATAATTATATAATATTTGGAGACACGGTAGTGTCTCGGCGCTAAGCCAAGCACGCGACACTGCCGTGCCTCCTTTACGCGAAACTGAGAATTTTTCGTGGTCGAGATGATCAGATCTCAGTAACGGCTGAACC